AAGGTGAAGAGAAGCAGTTCGCTGCCGAGGAAATCTCCTCCATGGTTCTCATCAAGATGAAGGAGATAGCCGAGGCTTATCTTGGAACAACGGTAAAAAATGCTGTTGTCACTGTCCCTGCCTACTTCAATGACTCTCAGCGTCAGGCCACGAAGGATGCTGGAGTCATTGCAGGGCTTAATGTGATGCGTATAATTAACGAGCCTACGGCTGCTGCCATTGCGTATGACCTTGATAAGAAGGCTGGAAGTTCGGGCGAGAAAAATGTGCTTATATTTGATCTTGGTGGTGGTACATTTGATGTCTCTCTTCTCTCTATTGAAGAGGGTATATTTCAAGTGAAGGCCACTGCTGGTGATACTCACCTTGGAGGAGAAGATTTTGATAACCGAATGGTGAATCACTTTGTTCAGGAGTTCAAGAGGAAGCACAAGGAGGGCATAAGTGGAAATCCTAGATCTCTTAGGAGATTGAGAACTGCTTGCGAGAGGGCGAAAAGAATGCTCTCATCAACTGCTCAGACTACAATTGAAATTGATTGTTTGTACGGGGGTATTGATTTCTACACTACCATAAATCATGCAAGATTTGAGAAGCTAAACATGGATTTGTTTAGAAAGTGTATGGAACCAGTTGAGAAGTGTTTGAGGGATGCTAAGATGGATAAAAGGAGTGTTGATGATATTGTCCTTGTTGGTGGCTCGACTAGGATTCCTAAGGTACAACAGTTGTTGCAGGATTTCTTCAACGGTAAGGAGCTCTGCAAGGGCATTAATCCGGACGAGGCTGTTGCGTATGGTGCAGCTGTACTAGCAGCAAATTTGAGTGGTGAAGGCAATAAGAAGGTACAAGACCTTCTGCTCTTGGAAGTTACCCCCCTGTCTCTCGGGTTGAAGACTGCTGAAGGTGTCATGACTGTACTCATTCCAAGGAATACCACTATTCCTGCCAAGAGGGAGCAAGTGTTCTCTGCCTCTTCTGACAATCAGCGCAGTGTGTTGATCCAAGTGTTCGAGGGTGAAGGAGCAAGAACCAAAGACAACAATTTGCTAGGGAAATTTGAGCTCAGTGGCATACCACCAGCACCTAGGGGCGCTCCTCAAATTACTGTTTGCTTTGACATTGACGCAGATGGCATCTTGAATGTTTCAGCTGAGGTCAAGACAACTGGGCAGAAGAACAAGATAACCATTACTAACGTCAAGGGAAGACTGTCGAAGGAAGAGATCGAAAAGATGGTACAGGAAGCTGAAAAATACAAATCTGAGGACGTGGAACATAAAAAGAAGGTCGAAGCTAAAATCGCCTTGGAAAACTATGCTTACAATATGAGGAACCCTATTTCTGCAGCTGACAAGAAGAAAATCGAGGATTCCTGTGAGTCGGCTATGCACTGGCTGGAAGGTAACCAACTTGCAGAGGCAGATGAATTTGAAGACAAAATGAAGGAGCTGGAGAGCATATTCAACCCAATAATTGCGAAGATGTATTCTGGAGGTGCCGGTCGGAGGCATGGATGAAGATGGTCCTTCTGTTTGTGGCAGTTCCAGTCCAGGCCCTAAGATTGAGGAAGTGGATTAAGTATAGAATTTTTAGACCAGGGGAATAATCATGCATGAGCCTTGCTACTTGCACTTTTATTTAAGTGGGTCCCACCCTCACGTGAGAGAGTGAATACCTTGATGTACACCAAATTATCTCTCGTGTTCGGAAGCTCGTTACCTCAACCGGTTTTTAATGTAATTTCAAAGTTACCATCTTGCTATTTTATGTGAAAAAATAATTAGTATTGTGTTTCAGAAAGTAGTCAACTTCTAATTTCTGGGATATTTCATTATTTCTCATAGAAAGCAGGTAATTAGTAAAACAAATTTTAAGTGGGGGAATATGATCTATTTGAGTTAAATGTTTCATTAGCCACTGAACTTTGAGTTATGTCACAATTTACTCATCGAATTTTCAAACTTGTCCGATTGGTCACTGAACTTCAATCCGTTACTCACCGGCTCCAATTTGTTAATTTTTGTATCTACGTCGCAACCGTAAAATCTAGCTGGCTGGTTAAATCCTTAAAATATTAAATGTTTTGTCAAATCATCGACCACATTGGCATAATAACCTCTTGGAATTATCTGCTTGTACATAATAGGGTAATTGGCGCAAAATGCCCCTACCTTTTACGGGTTTTGTGCAAAACGTCCATACATTTCGTTTTTTGACGCAGAACGTTATTTTCCCCAATTTTCGACCATTTTACCCTCCAATTTAAATAAAGCAAAAAAGAAAATAAAATAAAAATAAAGAATAAATTGCACTCTGTCCCTAAACTTTTTTAAAAATGCAAATATCCCTTCACTTCACATTCATTCTTGGGGCTATTCAAGTATTTGCACATCCTCAGGCAAAGCTTTTGAAACGCAGGCAAATGTGAATCTGAGTCCTTGAGCTTCTTCACAATGTGGGCAATTATTTTTGTCAATTGGGTAGGGCAGGGATCCGAGTGCGCGGCGCAGAGAACGGCAAGGAGACGGAGGCGCTCTTTCTTCACGACGGGTTTCGAATCATTGCCAGCGTTATAGAGGCAGTTGAGGAGCACCGAAACATCGTCATTTGATAGTGAATTTATAATTTTTTTTCAAGGTCCTCCACAGCTAATTGGTGGGTGTCGCGGTCTGAAAGTTTGATAGAGAATTGATGATTTTCTGCTTCAATTCAACCATGGCTAAATGGGATGATAAAGAAGATGAAGATGAAGCAGAAGATGATCTTGAAGGGGTTGCTTGGTTAGGGGATTTTGTGGGTTTTGAGGATCTCCGTGAACTCATTTTGAAATCTTGATAAAAAAAATTAACCAACAATGTTTCATGAATTAATTCAGTTTGATTGTATGTTGTTTGAAGTGAATTGGGGCCATATTCTGTGCCGCTTGGANTGCCCTTTTTTTTTTTTTTTTTGGGTTCTTTTTAATAGTTTTATAAATTTTGGACTCATTTGCATTTTTAAAAAAGTTTAGGAACATATTGCAATTTATTCTTTACTTTACTTTTCTTTTATTTTTTGTTTTATTTAAATTGGAGGGTAAAATGGTAAAAATTTGGGGAAAAGGACGTTCTGCGCCAAAAATGTGAAATGTAGGGACGTTCTGCGTCAAAAAATGAAAGGTAAGAACGTTATGCACAATGTCCGTCAAAGGTAGGGACGTTTTGCGTCAATTACCTTACATAATAATATATACATCAAGGTATCCACTCTCTCATATGAGGATGAGACTCACTTGAATAAAAAAAATTATCTCCAAGTGTGCCCCACCCCCATGTGAGGGGATGGACACCTTGATGTACATATTATTATGTACAAGTAGCAATGCCCTAAGCTCTCTCTTCAACTTATTAGTAAATGTAGATTTTTTAAGTTCTTTTAAATGAAATGTCATGGTAGAAAAATGTATGAAATTTGGAGTGATTACTAATTACTGTAAAAATTATGTTCATGTATATATGAAATAACATGAAATATCTTCCAAGATATTAAACGTTGGTTTGATGGTCGTTATTGTGTAAAAATGATGTTTTTGAGTAAGGATTTTTTGGAGAATGTGCGATGAAAAAATGGGGAAAAATTTTGGATTACAGAAACACATGAATATGCACATGTGCATGCAACTTCACGACATGTAAATATCGACCTTTACAACCTTCTATTTCTATAATATTTGACCAAACCATGATGTCTGCCGGCCTGGTAATGTTATGGATAAGTTAGGAGAACTATGCCAGGCTCTTGAGACTGAGCCTAAGATGTTGAGGCTTGAGATAGGCTGAATAGAGAAGTATGGAGTTTTAACCTAAGCATGATTTGAGCATAATTCAAGTTAAGCTGAAGCTGAGAATATGAAAACTAAATTTCACACTCTTACTGGTTAACTATTTATATATGCACACTATTCAACGTTTGCGAGCTGCCACCATCAACCTTAAGCTCAGCTTGGACTTGAATAAACTTGAGCATAGCTTTTGCCAAGCTCAGAAGGCTTGCAAGCTGGCTTGACTTGTTGTTAGGCCTCGGATTGTGGGTTAAATGTCCACGACTCATGATTTGATGACTTTGTACGTTGAAGATGGTTGCTTGGATTTAGTAAAGAAGCTGAATGTTATTACATTACTTAATTCTTTCCTATGACGATGTAAAAGGTAGTAATGGTGAAATTCTTCAGCGCCCCAATCCTTCTGTATTGCTATCCATTTAAGAATTATAGCAAGAATAGTTCATTTACAATTCAGCAGTAGTAGCTTCTATATTTTCCAGAAACTCTCTCCGTATTGATGATTTCTTTTTCTTCTTCATGTCAGTATGGTGGTTTCAGTAAATTCCCGGGTTTGCTGCCAGATCTTTACCATTCTTATTATAGATTTTGTGCATTTAGTCTGTTGAAGGAACCTGATATCAATGATTTATGTCTTGAACTGGGAATAACAACTATCGCGGCAATTGGACTCCGACTCAACAATTATCTTATATTTTTTCACTGTTATAGTATCATTTGGATCATACCTCAATGCTACAATATTGGAGAGTATTCTTTCGAGAAGCTGACAGTAATTTGAGGACAATTGTTGGCATAAGAGAAAACGTGGTGATTGCTATGTTATCGTTTATAAACTCGAGCCATTTCCTTTTCCAAATATTATTGTCATTTTTTATTTCCCGTCACACAAGTATTTCACTTCTGGTAAATCCTTTTGCCTCAGCCAGCTTCCAGCCTAGTGCAATACTGATAACACTATTCATCAAAAATTTCAGCCATTTTATTGAAAGTGCGAGTTGCCGCAGCAGCTCTCTGTCAAGGGGCTGGGCTTAACGACTCTAAGACACCCAATGTAAAGTGTGTTCTGTATGATTTCGTGATATATATGATACACCTTTGTGAGGTATCCCTTCGCGAGATAGTAAGCATAAAGTATGAATGATTGGATTCTAATCATATAAAATCGTTCACACTTGCAATGTGATGTAAAAGGCACATGCCTATAAAGCTCTGATTTGACAATATTGAATGTTATGAAAGTTTTTGGTAGCTCAAATCTGAATTATTCTGTATTGCTTTTACAAAGAATGGATGAGCATATATATACAACAGTTCCTGGCCTATTTTTGGCTATACAGAGATAAAGGCTTAATTTGCTAGATTGAAAGTTGACCCTATAATTAAGGGAATTACATTCAACTTTCTATAATCTCTAATGACAGCTCACGCCAACACTCCCCTTCAAGTTGGTGCATATAAATCTCTGATGCCCAACTTGTCAAGTGAGTTGTGGAAGTTCTTGCTACATACAGCTTTTGTGAGTATATCCGCCAACTGATCTTCAGACTTAACAAATGGAAACCGAATTATCTTTGCCTCAAGGTTCTGTTTGATAAAGTGTCGATCCACTTCCACGTGTTTGGTTCGATCATGCTGGACATGATTATGAGAAATATCAATAGCAGCCTTGTTGTCGCAATAGAGACTCATCTCACAAAGACCCTTAGCCATCCCACGAAATTCAGCTTCAGCACTTAATAATGACACTACTTTATGTTTCTTGCTCCTCCATGTAACAAGATTTCCTCCAACAAATGTAAAATATCCTGAGGTGGATTTTTTATCTGTAACATTTCATGCCCAATCAGCATCTGTATAGCCTTCAATCCTTAAGTGATTGTTCTTCGAAAAAATAAGTCCCTTTCCAAGAGAGGATTTTAGGTATCAAAGAATTTGAATTACTGCATTCATATGATCTTCACTTGGACAATGCATGAATTGGGTTACTACACTTACTGCATAAGCAATATCGGGTTGTGTATGTGAGAGGTAAATAAGCTTACCAACCAATCTTTGATACCTTCCTTTGTTTGTTGGTACTTGGTTTGGGTATTTTCCAAGTTTGTGATTTTAGATCATTGGCGTATCTGCAGGTTTGATAATAAATCTAGGACATATTTTAGTTGGGAAAGGAATATACCTTGCTTGGATCTAGCAACTTCAATTCCTAGAAAATATTTGAGTCCTCCTGGATTTTTCATCTCAAATTCAACTGCCCATTGCTTCTAAAGTCTTAATATTTCTTCCGAATCATCTCCTGTAATAATAATATCATCTACATAGACTATCATAGCTGCGATCTTGCCCTGTTGATGCTTTAGAAAGAGTGTGTGGTCTGAATTGCTTTGATGAAAACCATATTTCCTCATTGCCAAGCTCAATCGTCCAAACCATGCTCGAGGAGATTGTTTTAATCAATATAATGTTCGATGTAGCTTGCACACAACCTTGTTCTCGAAGGTTGCCATATATCCCGATGGAACATTCGTGTAGATTTCTTCTTTAAGATCATCATGGAGAAAAGCATTTTTTTACATCAAATTCATTCAATGGCCAATCAAGATTCGCTGCTAAAGATAGTAGAACTCTAACAGTATTTAACTTAGCTACCGGTGAGAAAGTCTCTTGATAGTCTATACCATAAGTCTGTATATATCCCTTCGCCACCAGTCTCGCTTTGTATCACTCAACTGATCCATCAGCTTTGTACTTGATGGAGAACACCCATTTGCACCCCACTGTCTTTTGTCCTTCGGGTAGAGGCATGAGACTCCACGTCTCATTTTCAGCAACGCTTCCATCTCTTCCTTCATAGCTTGGACCCACCTAGGGTTTTTAGGGCTTCATCAACATTAGTGGGAATATGACATGAAGAGAGCTCATTTGCAAAGTTTTTGAGAGGTTCAGGAAGTCTCTTTGTAGATACATAATTGCCAATTGGATATCTTGACCTTTGATCCTTGATTTTAGGAGAATATCTATTTGGTGGTTTGCCACGATTGTGCCTGAAAGGTAACTCATAGCCAATAGGAATATCTACATTGTTAGAAATGAGAGGTGTGGTTGGTGTGCTTACCTCAGCGATATTCTCAGGAGATACTATCTGTTCAGTAGTAGATTCTTCGATGACCGATGGTCTTGTATTAGCGTTATTAATTTCTGGCCAGTTAAATCTTAGCCAATTCAGCTCTTCACCACTCATCTCCCCCTAAAGAGGATAATTGGATGCTCCAGGAGAGTAAAAAGTGTCAGATTCAAGAAATGTGACGTCCATAGTCACATAAGTGTGCTTGGTGGTCGGATCATAGCACCAATATCCTTTTTGATGCACAGCATATCCCAAGAAAAGATAACGAATGGCACAAGGATTAAATTTCGTGCGTTGGTTCTTATGGAGGTGAACAAAGACAACACATCCAAAGATTCTAGGTGGAAGCATCAATATTATGGGTAGTGGAATAAAAGTCGACAGGGTATGTAGTGGAGTCTAAAAATCAAGAACCTTAGTAGGCATCCTGTTGATAAGGTGGACGGCTGTGGCAACTGCTTCAGCCCAAAAGATGCTAGGTACATGAGCACCGAGTAAGAGAGCACGAGCAGTTTCTAGAATGTGGCGATTTTTTCGTTCAGCAATACCATTTTGTTGAGGCGTTTGAGGGCATGATGTCTCGTGAATCATACCATTTTGTTCAAAATAATTCTGGAATTGATGATTCATCTATTCTCCACCATTATCTGACCTCAGAATCAAATTTTAGCGGAAAATTGAGTTCGAACCATGTTATGAAATAATTGAAAAACATGGAAAACTTCATCTTTGGTTTTCAACAAGTAGAGCCAAGTCATTCGAGTGCAGTCATCAACAAATATCACAAACCAGCGGAAACCAACTGTAGTAGGTTTTGGGGAAGGACCCCACACATCAGAGTGACTTAAAGCGAAAGGAACAACACTTTTAGTTGTACTCAATGGATAAGTAGCTCGATGACTCTTGGCTAAAATGCAAGCCTCACATGTAAAGTTTGAAACTGAGGAGTCCGAAAATAAATCAGGTAGTAAATGTTTCAAATATCCAAATGAAGGATGACCTAATCGACGGTGTTAAAGCCAAACTTGTTGTGTTTTTAGATCACTTGAATGGTGCATATGATGTGCTCGACCCACGCTAAAGTCATCCATGTAATAGAGTCCCCCCATTAGTACCACACCCAATGATCTCCTTGGTGAGAATATCCTGAAGAAGACAAAATGTAGGGTAAATAAGTACCACACAATTTAAGTCATGGGTAATTTGACTTACAGATAGTAATTTATGAGAAATAGAGTGCACAAGTAAAGTATTGCATAATGATAAGATTGGTGACAATATTACAGTGCCAGCCCCAGTGACCGAAGAAGTCACCCATTGGCATTGGCAATACTAGTGCGTCGTGGAGGGGAATGCTAAGAAAAATCATTCGCGTCAAATGTTATATGATCTGTGGCTCCAGAATCAAGTATCCAAGTGTTGCGGTTACCATCTCTAAAAGAACTGAAAAGAGCAACACCTGAACCTCCATCAGTTTTAGTTCCGTCACGGTGCTTCCAGGCCTGGAGTTCGTGTGACCAGTCGGCGTCACCTGTATGCTTTCCATTCCTACGGTGGCCGCATATGGTTCTGTCCACCTTGAAACTGGTCTCTTCAGAAACAAGTTCTGTGGTCGAGGTCGAGACTGAGGCTTCGGTCAGGACCTTACTATCCATCTTGAAGCCAAACTCTTCAGCAACAAAGTCTCTGGTCGGGGTCGAGACTGAGGCTTTGGTCATGCCATTAGTCTTTTTCATGTTTAACTCTTCGAGACTGGAGGAGGTCGGTGGGTCTGTGTCTGCCATAGAGAATAATTGGTCTTTGATTTCTGGGTTTGAAGTCAAAAAATCCAAAATATCCTTGGACTTGATTACCTCATCTGTTTGCAGGGATTCTGGCCAGGAGTAAATTGGCATCAAGAAATTTCAGAACAAACTTTCAGGAATAAAGTAGAAGTTTTTATGCAGGAGAATTACTTCCTGCATCAAAACTGGTAATAAGGTCAGAATATTAAGGGATCTATTGCTCTGATACCATGATAGTTTTTGGTAGCTCAAATCTGAATTATTCTATATTGCTTTTACAAAGAATGGATGGGCATATATATACAACAGTTCCTGGCCCATATTTGGCTATACAGAGATTAAGGCTTAATTTGCTAGATTGAAAGTTGACCCTATAATTAAGGGAATTACATTCAACTTTCTATAATCTCTAATGACAGCTCACGCCAACATGTTACGTATGTGGAGAGAGGCTTGGTATACTGGTGGTGGGTGACAAACACCCTGACCGGCCCCCTCACAATAGGGGGCCCACATCTTTTTTGGAATTTTTTATTCATGTGGGACCAGCCATCATGTGAGAGTTTGTCAACTTTTTTGTCAAATAATATTGTACAACTAGGATTTTTCACGTATATGATGTATTTGGTACATTATTGAGTACATAAACTGAAAATTTGTCATGTCACGCTTTTGGATTTGATGACAATCTTTTTCGTTCCACTCAACTCTTTGGACTACGTACTTTTCTACTTGCTATAAGTAGCTCCACACATCTCCTAGAAGAACTTGCCATTAAAGAAGTTTCGAAACCATATAAAAAATGGAAAAGAAATTGCCCCACCTTAGTGCCTCTTTTCCTACGCGAGATCGATTAAAATCAATTTTCCTTAATACTGGTTCAATCTAGCATGATGAGTACAAATGTCCTAATTCGACTAGGTCTTGCTACTACTATATGGCAGTGTAATGCAAAGGTTAGAAAATGTCTATTGCTAATCTCTTTACCGGACTTCCTTACCTAGTTATCCAAGTAGCGCTTCTCTGTCCGATATATAGATATATATTGTTAGGATCTAACAAGGAAGTTTTGCATTCACCAAACGAGATTTAATATAGCACAATTAAAGTAACAGATCACCAAACACAGAGACAAGATTTAAAGTAAAGAAAACACAAGATATAATTAATGGAAGAAGAAGATAATTTTATTTCAATTAATGGAGAGCATAAATTATACAATGTGTATAATGCTTCAAGAAATATAAAGGGCGGGACTACATATTTATAAGTGTATACCAAACAATACAAATGGAAATAATATAAAAATAATGTGAAATAATGGAAATAATATTTTTCCAATAAAATCACGTGAAATAAAAGGAAACAATATCACGTGAAAATAAGGAAACAATATTTCTCAATATTTTTTCCAATAAAANGAAAAAAAAGGAAACAATATCACGTGAAAATAAGGAAACAATAATTCTAAATATTTTTCCCAATAAAACAATAAGAAAAGAAGGGAAAAAATATTCTCAAAATATTCCACATAATTTGGGTAATCAAACCTAACAATTTCTACATTGACACAAATTTCAGTGCATCGAACTAAGCAACAAAATTTCTCCACCTGGAAAAATAAATCCGACTACATCGAAATGACAAAACCCTTCAATCAAAAATTTCAAATCTCTCCAACACAAAAAACCGTCTTCCTCTTCCCAAGTATCCAGCATGATACATGAACCACACACAGTTCCCAAAATTTTTACCATGGAAACAATCAACCAAATAGTATCCACAAATGATACTCGAACTCACACACCGAGTTCCCAAAATTCCTGAATGGAATTCACAATCAACCAAACAGGGTAGAAGCACCCTGTAGACAGAATCATCACCAAGTGCTTGAACTGAAAATTGCTTGCTAGACATATCATCTTCAAAAACCACAAAAATACACACACCCACATTTGGGCTGTACCTCTCCTCAATGAGTCCTTCCCTAGCAATAGAACACGATGGAACCGCTGAAACTGGTGGCAAAGAGGGATTACCCATGTCAACCAAACTCTCATTAGTATTGTTCACCAAATTCGACTCAGAGCCAAAACCCAACGGTACCGCACCAAACTGAATATCCACCACTATACAAAACCTGTCCAAATGTCTTCTAACTGGTTCTGCACGCCTTGCAAGATGTACAATTGAAACTTTTTTCGTCTCTCAAGTACCACCTGAGCACCACTACGGACCTTCAAGACTCCACCTCCACTGGAGAACATGTACCCCTTTGAATCTAGGGTACTCAATGAAATGAGGTTCTTACCTAAGTCCGGAACATGTCGAACCTGGTCAAGTGTTCTAATCGTCCCATCCAATAGCCTTAATCTGATTTTCCCAACTCCAGCTATCCTGCAAGATTGGTTGTTTCCCATGACAACTCCACCTTGCGTCACTACCTCATATGCTTCAAACAAGTCCCGATTAGGATACATATGATACAAATAAGCTAAATCCAAAATCCATTCCTCATCAGGCTTGGATACAATATCAGATACGGTCAATACCACAACTTCATCATTCTCAAAGTCTTCGACAATATTAGTCTCATCCGTATCATTAGATTGCCTACCATGAGTTGCAGGTAAATTACCTTTGTTCTGCAACTTGTTACAATCCTTCAAAATGTGCCCTTTCCTCTTACAATAGAAACAAACCACAGTGCTAAATTTCACCATCGACTTACCTTTCCGCCGATCATCATGAGTCACAAGAGCTTGCTCATCCCTTGATGTAGCTCCAACAAGATGGTTCATCTTCTCCTTAGAGAATAACGCATCATACACATCCTCAACGGTGAGTGTATCAAGTCTATATAAAATCGTGTTCCGAAACGACGAATATGAAGTCGGTAAAGAGCATAATAAGATTAAGGCAAGAGCCTCTTCATCATATTTTACCTCTAACGTCTCCAAATCAACAAGGATCTCCTTAAACACTTACACGGCCAAATGAGCTTCCACTGAATCTCCATCTGCCATGCGATGAGAATAGAGCATCTGCTTCAAATGCAACTTACTGGTCAGACTTTTGGTCATACAGAGTTGCTCCAACTTCAACCACAATGCACCTGCTGTCTTCTCCTTCAATACGTCTTGAAGAATGTTGTTAGATAGATGAATATGAATCTGCGAAAGTGCCTTGCGATCCTTCCGTTGCTTTTCCTCCGTTGTCCAAATTGTCGGCATCCTATCAAATCCCAACAAAACATAATCCAAATCCATCTGCGCTAATACATCTCTCATCTTCACTTGCCACAACGAAAATCTTATACTGCAATCAAACGGTGGAATATTATACTTCGTGGTAGCCATGGATAACAAATAACCTCAAACAATCAAATCATTTCTTTGTGAAACTGTTGAACCTTGGCTCTGATACCACTTGTTAGGAATTCGATGAGGTGATATGGTGTGATATAAAGTATAGATTGTACAAACTAATAAACAAGAACAATATTTAAAAGAAAACAAAAAAGAAATTGGCAGAGGAACTAGATATTTTATTAATGACAACCAATTGATAGAAAATACAATTTTCAGCAACGACTGCAATCTCTAAACTGAATGAAGGGTCNCTGGTTAGTCTTTTGGTCATACAGAGTTACTCTGACTTCAACCACAACGCAGCTGCTGTCTTATCCTTCAATACGTTCTGAAAAAAGTTGGTAGATAGATGAAGGTTAATCTGAGACAAAGCCTTTCGATCCTTCCTTTGCTTCTCCTCTGTTGTCGAAGTTGCGGGCATCTTTTCAAATCCCAGCAACGCATCATCCAAATCCATCTGCGCCAACACATCTCTCATATTTACTTGCCACAACGAAAATCTTGTACTGCGATCCAAAAGCGAAATATCAAATTTCATTGAAGACATTGTATAAAAAAAATCCCAAAAGCAAAACTTCACAATGCATGAGCTCTGATACCACTTGTTAGGACCTGCCAACTCCACGTTGGTATGATATTGTTTGCTTTGAGACTGTGCCCTCACGAATTTGCTTTTTGGATACTACCCAAAAGATCTCATACCAATGGAGTAATGTCCTTCACTTATAAACCCATCATATTTTCCATGTCTAGCCAATGTGAGATTTCTTTTACTCCCAACAATCATCCCCTCAAACGAAGGACCACATCATTATGGCCTTCTCTCAAACGATATTCCTTCCGCCAATCATCTTGTACCACCGTTATTGTCGTTGCCCTCGACCAAACGGGACCCGCCGCCTAACGCCCATATTTTTTATGTCAGGAAGAATTTCGACACAAGGCACCTCAAACGCGGATGATTTTTAGCCAGATCACAAGGCTAACTCCACCACGCTTTCCGCTGTGTTCCTCCGGCTAAGTTTTGGGCTCTGGGCTCTGACACCACTTGTTAGGATCTAATAAGGAAGCTTTGTATTCACCAAACGAGATTTAATATGGCACAATTGAAGTAACAGATCACCAAACACAAAGACAAGATTTAAAGTAAAGAAAACACAAGAGATAATTAATGGAATAAAAAGATTTTGTTTCAATCAATGAAGATCATAAATTATACAATGTGTATAATGCTTCAAGAAATATGAAGGGAGTGACTACATATTTATAGATGCATACCAAACCATAAAGATGGAAATAATATAAAAATAATGTGGAATAGTGGAAATAATATTTTTCCAATAAAATCAGACGAAATAAAAGGAAACAATATTTTTATCAATAAAATAATGTGCAAAAAAAGGAAAAAATATTCTCAAAATATTCCACATAATTTGGGTCATCAAACCTAACATATATTGCATATACAGATAAAGAACATTGGAGCAAGTCATGATGTGCTGCCTGACTTTTTTCAATAATTGGCCAAGAAAAAGTAAAGACCAAATGATTCAAGTTGGGCACCTTTCGGTTTCATACACGAAATGTGATCACGGGCAATTGTCTATTTTGTTCTCTTCAAAAATCCAAAACATAGTCCGACCCACAAATTTTAATATTATTTCTTTTGATTTTTTTTGAAAGATCCTTCACATAATATTGCAGTTGAGTACCAAACTAAACATTTGCTAGTTTACGCAA